AGCAGCCGCTGTCCCGCAGTTCGCACGATTCAATGACGTGCTGCCATTGGTCCGGATTGTGTTTCTTGTAACCCCCACCGAAGCTGCTATGTGCCAGTTTCGCGGGCGACGAAGCGACCTTCTTCAAGGTGTAGTAATAGTGACAGTCTTGCTCCTGGCGGTCCTGGTGTCGGTCCCCGTGGACGGGAAGAATGCGACGGCAGCGGGGGTGGTGCGCCTGGCAGTTATAGCGCCGGCAGATCACGAACATGAGCAGTCCCTGTATCGCGTGCTGCCCGCAGTGCAGTTGGCGGTTCGTAAAGTAGCGGACCCCGTGACGGGGTCCCTTCCCGGCTGGGACATCCGCGTGGAACACAGGGACTCCCACTGCTCCTCGACATTTGGGCCCCTCGCCGCCTTCGAGTTCTACATCAACCGGAGCGCAGGTACAAAGCAGCATCGTTCGTCGTAGTGATAACGAGTTCTAGGGCTCGGATTCTCAATTTTCTGTCCGCGGTGGAACAGGCCTGTGGCAATGAAAGCTCTGAGGTTAGAGCAGGGTTAGGTAAAAACGTCATCTCCCGCTCACGCGACGAACCCAGGGTGTCATGTGCTCTTCTCGAACCCTCACGACATCGTGACGAAAAATGTCTGCGTTGCTTCAGAGTCGCCCTTCAGTGGAATTCTCTCCAGTCAAACAGATTCGCTGGATACCGCGAAGTTCTTTGACTTTGCCCCCGGTCTGTATAACGCACACGTGTGCCACATATCCGATCTGACGTTCGGTGGCTGCTTTCAAAAATCCATACACGTACAAAACTCGTTTCCTTTGCTTAACAATAGTCTTCTGGCGGACATTTCGACCGCATTTGTTCTGTCCATTTTATTGGCATTTGGCTTTTACTGTGTCATCGAAACATTATTAACTTCGTGCCGCGGAGACTCGGTTCTCCCCCGTCACTACCATTCCGCCGCTGCTCCGTTTTCACTCGCGAATCATCCATCGGGGCGATGGACTCCCTGCCCGTCCGCGCCCGCGGTTCCGAAGAGACCAGTGCTCCCCGTCTCTACGATCACGTCTTAAGTGAATTTTCCGTGGACTCTGCGATGCTGAACCCACTTGCCGCAAAATGACATCTGATTAGACGCCTTCGGAGATTCTTTGCTGGCGTTTGTTTTCATTACCACTTTTATTGTGCGTTTAGTGTTACATTCTTAATTTCCGTTTGTGTCGCGATAAGTGTACGTGGGAACCACTTGGTTGCGCCAAGCTGTAAACTGATAGAATACAACTTATCTGAATTAATGTCGCGTACTATTTGTTCTGGTTAGTTATTGGATTGGAAGAAGAAGTCATTGAATTTGCTTTATTAATGGGCCACAAATGTTACGTGTCCCGAAAAACGTGTCTTTGTGGTTGTGTCTCCAAGAAATGGGGACGACTCGGGGTAGTCCGTCACAAAATGCAATGGTTCAAAGTAGAACCACGCGCGACTGTAAATCCGAGCGAACTTCGCACTAAACGTTTTAACGTCGACTGACGTCGGTTTTGGGACTGGAGTTATTCCACCAGCTTCGTGGCTCGTCATCTCCCTCACAATGAATGCGTCCCCGAGGCTCAAAGCAAACGTTTCCCGCTGTTTGTCCCAGTAACTAGTCATTATCCCGGCAGAGCCTCAAAGCGTCACAACGCAGCAGCAGCAGTGCCCAGTCTTCTGACCGTATTCGAACGAACCAATCAAGCAAGACCGGGAAATGTGTTTGTTGTTTGTTCATTAGCCAAGTGCGTGAATGGAACACGCCGATGCGTATCTTAAAGTCCCTGTTTCAAAACTGGATTAATGTTAAAAGACAATCAAACCCTTCAGGCTAATTCCATTTTTGGTCTAATCTTTAACGAAGTGTCGAAAATGCTTTGTTGTTCTCCCACATTTTCTTGAAATAATAAAAAATTTCTTATGCGTGTTTATTCCCGACTTTGTTGAGTAAAGGGTTGTCCAGCAGCGACATAGATCGCTTTTGCGCCTTTCAACGAAACATTCACAGTCGCCTAGTAATAATTACCGCAAGGCGTCCGTATCTGCAGCTGCGCTGCATTTCTCTGTCCTGGAGACTCAAGGGCAAGGCACTGCGGTGTTTCAGAGGGCTCATGTGCCGGGTGCCACTTCCGCCGGTCGTGTCATTTTGCGCCTTCCGCCCAGATACTCGCGTGTTTTCCTCTGTCCGTTGTTTGTCCGCGTCTCTGGAGTGTCTGGTTACCTACCAAGCGGCCAAACCGATTTTATAGAGCAAAAGTGTGATTTTGTACTGTGGGCGTTTTGAAACAAGGACCTTAAAATGCGGTATTTTGTTTTTCTCTTCGAGAATACCATCGCAGGTTCAAGGCCGTTTTTGGTTCCGTAAATCTGCTTGCACTTTAATTCACACTCGAAGGGATTAAACAGAAGAACAGCAATTATCGTTCGTTTCCTTCTTAATTTAAGTCACTCTGTATATACGTACAGTTTTTTAAAGAGGCATTATTTCCCTGAAACCCCGTCTGAGGTTTCGCTAGAAACACGCAACGTCAGAGCCCAGTGAGATGTGTGAACGAATTTAGAATTCTTTAAAAGAGAGTTCTTTGTCGCGAAACAGAAATGCGCACGTCACTAAATTTACGACTTCGCTTACGACAGTTTCCTGACAAGTTTACATTTTAACTTAGACTTCACAGCAGCGTCAGGAGTGCAGACCACGTCCAGAGACTCGAAGCAGACCTTGAGCCACCGACGTTGCAGAGAAACGGAAGTTACGTGCACTCCGGTGGAGTACGCGTTTGCACTATTTCTGGCTTCGTCGGTGAAGTGGCCCGTGTGCCGTTGTTGCTGTGAGCGTGACGTCCGTCCGTGTGTGTTTTTATTGCCGTAATGAGACGGCAGTGGTAGTTGTTAACGCCATCTGTCTCCACGACAATTAGCGTTGTGCGTGGTTACGCATTGCGCCAGCCGCGTGTCACTGGCGGTAAAAAAACCTCCCAGCATAATTCAGTTTATTTAATCTGCGTCATCATTTTTTCCTCCGACTAGTTAATTCAGGAAGCCGTGAATCCAAACCTCGAAGGTGTACGGTTCTTACGAGCCTCGACACGTTCTTGCAAAGCCAGTTATAAATGCCCTTACCATATAGAGCAACGTCATTAAATTAACGAAGGTAAAATAGCGTTGCTGTCGGCACTTTCAAGGACCGGCAATTTCTGTTTATTTGCCCGTGACCAAGGAAACGATTAACAAAACAAATGACCGAACTTTTTGGCGATTAGAAAACCAAGCAGAGGTTAAAATGATATGAATTATATTTTAATATTATCATTACAAAATCGATCTTTCCCCCTTCAAATATGAGAAACGGTAGACTTCAGCAGCTCTGTGGTGGCACCCATAATTACCACAACACAACTCCATGGAACTCTTCCTTTTGTACACCCTTGTCCCTTTTTAATGTTCAGTTTAATGTTATCGTCTCAGCATCGACCAGGTGGCAGGTTTTTCCGAAATAAATCGCACTCGAATGTTTGGTGATTCGATGTTCACAGTTAGTCTAACCTGACGACGAGGTTAAAAAAACGCCCTGAATTTAATTCCGCGGCTCTAATTCGGGTGGCGCAGCGCGAAGATAATTAACATTTCCTGTAAAATACGATTCGGTTTTGCAGTTCTTGAACCAATAGTCGAAGAATTATTAAATCGATGTGCCGTACTCCGGTGTTAATTCAACTTTAATTGCGTCAG